TTTTTTTTTTTTAACCCAACACTAAGATTGACTGGGAGAAGTGAGTGTGAAGAAGAGGGGAAAAGCAGGGTGCGGGAGACCAGCTCCCGCAGGTCCAGGGGTTCCCTCAGGTGGAGGCGGAGTCAGCGAGGAAAAAACAGGCGGAAACACAGGAGCGCTTTTTCAAGAAGTGTCTCACTTTATTTTACAGCATGCCCTTTTTTATACCGGGCAGTTTAACCATTGTTCCATTAGTATCAGGGTTTTACTTCCTCATAATTCTTATGCTCCAGGGTACAGCTATACCTTTTCTATGCTAAAAACTAACTTATCCCAATTACGCCTCCACCCTCAATGACTGCGATCAAGGCCTGAGCCTCTACATAATCGCCTAAAGGATGGTTACCATGACCACCCAACATTTATTCTAAAAACTATTGTCTAAGCGGGATCTTAAGATTTACAGGGTGTGTACTTTGACCTTTACTAAAAGACTAGTAGTGTGACTAAATTACCTTTAATGTATAAAATATAATTATTGTGATATATCTATCAGAAGGTGTGTAAGATATTCGTCCTACTGGGGGGCATCCAAAGGGGAATTTAAATTCTTTAAGATATAAAGCAGTATCTGTTTCTCAGTCAGAGCTTCAGAATTTGTCACAATTGCAGTGTGTTTGGCCATGTCGGATACTGAGGCGCAGACGGCTCCCGGCAGCAGGGCAGTCAGGAGGAAGTGTGGAGGTGCGAGGAGGGGCCAGAGTGTCCTGGTTCTCCAGGGACCACTCCTGGGCACCTGGTGACCTGTGTTCTCTCCCCTTAGGTAGGGATCCCACAGCTGGGTGGTTCTAAGCCACCAGGTTCCTGAAAGGTTCACGGGATGCTGGTCCTGTTGCTGCATGGTGAGTTCCGAGGTCTACTCCTATCCCCAAGCAGTCAGTTGCCAGTAGGTGCAGGGGCTGGGAAGCCCGTAGAAGATGCTGCAAGATGTGTGGAAACCCAAGGCGCATGGTCTTCAAGGGGCTTCCATGAAAGCTGTACCTGGACACTGGTTCTTTGGATTAGGTTTCACTGAATGTGTCATCGTGGGGGAGGGAATGGAGAATGAGAGTAAACAGTTGATGGTGGGCTTTTTCGTTTGTTTATTTAAAAACAAAGCTCTTGAGCCCAATATATAAAATAATCTTTTGGTGATTTTTCTTGTGCTAATTTCAGATATGAATTCATTGGTGTAATCACCAAAAACGACATGGTTTTCTAGTCACATATTTTAAGCTCACTTAGTAAAAAAAAAATCCCTTCAAAAATCTATCTTCCTAGAGGAAGTTTGCAAATATTTTTACAAGTTTTTGTCTTATTGTTCTATGGGTTTTAATACAATAAAAAGACTCACCACAAATTTTTTCTCACAGCGCTCAAATCTAACAGAGATACCCCAAGGAAAAATCTCTTGTTAAGTTCTGCAGTAAGTGGTTCTAAACAAAGAATCTTTTTTTTGACCCTCAGATGCATGTAATTATTTGAGGTTATAACTACCCATGCAAATAGACCTCTGCCTGCAATGCTGGCAGAGAAAAATTTTACTAGATAATTCTAAAATGGTAATCTTAGGTTTTTTTTTTTACTCTTTATTCTACCTTTTCAAAAAGGAAAACTTGCTCTATTCAATGAATCAACAGGTATACACTGTAGCTTCAATACACTCAAGGGATATTATGAGAGATGTGATTGCATTGATTTTGTCCTTGAGAAACTTACATTCTTTTATGGGAGACCCAGCAAATAAATGAGAAAAAAAATTTGAACAAGGTGCAGGGAACACTGATAAATAGGACATGACTGCCTACCTCCAGGAGGCTGCAAAGGACAGAGGTTGACATTTGTATAATTACACACAGCCAGTTCCTTGCCATTTCCCCTACCTAGAAAGGATATGAAGTTTGATTGACTCATTGGCACAGAACGTTTGCTTCCAAGAGCCAGTATGATTTTAAATGTGCACCAAAAACTCTCCCGTTCCTCAGAACGCAGACAGTATTCACAGCCTGCATGCTGCAAAACAGGAACTGCCTCTACTGCAGGAACCAGAAATACATCCAGACTTCTTGTGACAAGTTGGAGAGCTTAGCGGTGACATCATTTGCTAACAATAGATGCACTTAAAATTAATGACTATCTCCACATCCCCTGGCACTTTAATTTAAAACACACTCAGCAGCACAGACAATATTCCTCTGACTACAAGTCACAAGGATTATGGACAACATGTTCCCGAGCAGCCAGGGATAGAGCTCCACCTCCTCAACTAGAGAAAAATGACTTAGTGAGCCCGACAAAATGAATCAGAAGTGGCTCACAGGAGAGTAAATCTGGGGCAAAACAGAAACAGAAATTATCTGGATATGAGCCTCGACTCTCACCCCTCCCCCATGACAACCTCTTCAGGGGTCATCCTGCTTCTCACAGCATAATATCCCAGTTCCTTAACTTGCTTTACAGGGTCCTTCACCAGCGGCTTGCTCTAAACTGTGATTCTTCTTGTAAAAATTTTATTGGAGAACAGCCATGGCCATTGGTTACACATGGCTTTCATGCTACAGTGGCACAGCTGACTCCTTTTAGGGAGGGCGCAGCTCACAGTGGCCCATGCGGGGATCGAACCGGCAACCTTGGTGTTATCAGCACCATGCTCTAACCAACTGAGCTAACCAGTCACCCCCTAAACTGCGATTGTTTAAAGCGGCCGGGGTTTGTGTTTTATTCACCTCATAGTTTCTAGAGTCTGAGACACAGTAGGTGCTTCATAAGGGTTTATTTGTTGAATGGGTGAAGCCACCCAGATTAGAACTGTTACAATATCTAATGAAGATCTTGCATCCAGAATATACATATACATGTATTTAAAAGCTCTTAAAACTCAATAGTAAGACAGTCCAATTTTTAAAACCAGGCAAACAAATTTGAATAGCTATTTCATCAAAGAAGATATACAAGTGGCTAATAAGCATATGAAAAGATGCTCAACATCATTGGTCATTAGGGAAATGCAAATGAAAACCACGATGAAGTGCCACTTCACATCCACTAAGGATGGCTGGAATCAAAAAGACAATAATAAGTGTTGACGAGGATGTGGAGCAACTGGGACGCTGCTGGTGGGAATGCAAAATGGACTGGCCACTTTGCAAAACAATTCGGCAGTTTCTTCTAAAGTTCAACATCTACTTACCATATGACCCAGTAATCCCAGTCCTAGATAAATGAGAAGTGAAAACACATGTCCACAGAAAGACTTGCACACAAGCCCTTACATCCGCTTTAGTCACAATAGGTGAAAACTGGAAGCCATCCAAATGCTCATTAATAGGTGACTGAATACACAAATCGAGGTACATTCACATAATGGAATGCTGCTCAGCAATAAAAAGAACAATCAACTGCTATTCAGAACCACATAAGTGAACCCCACAAACATGCTGTTGACTGAAAGAACCATTTGATTCCATTTACATGAAGTTCAAGAACGGCAGAACTAATCTATAGTTCAGAAAGCAGATAGGTGGTTGCCTGGAGCCGAGGATGGGGAGGGGACAGCTGTCAAAGGGGCCTGAGGAAACTTTCTGGCTAATAGGAATGTTATACCGCATTTCCCCATGTATAAGACGCCCCCATGTATAAGACACATCTTAGTTTTGGGGCCCGAAATTTGAAAAAAAATGTATTACATAAAGTTATTGAACTCAAGTATTATTCATCATAAAATTCATACAATGCCTCAGCACTGTCAAAACTCCCAACCATTAGCTTGTCCTCATCTGTGTCTGATGATGAATCACTGTCTTCATATATTGCTTCTCATGGCCTTCTTCTGCCGTGGCGTTTTCAGTAGGGTCTCTTCTTCCCATAGCCAGTCTTGGATTGTTTTCTCAGTTGGAGGAGGACCAAACTTACGTTCAGCAGCACGATTTCCATTAACTTTTGCAAACTGGATCACTTTTTTTTGTTTTTGTTTTTTTTTTAGCTGAGCCATCCTGCCACCTGCTAGCAGCTCAGTGGCATCTCAGCTCGGAACGGGAATCAAACCAGCGACCCTGTTGCTCAGAGCTCACACTCTTGAGCGAGCTCTTAACCAACTGAGCCACTCGGCCAGCCCACAAACTGGATCACTTTTAACTTGAATTCAGCACTGTACGAAAATCTTTTCTGAGCCATTTCTGGGCAGAACGTGGCAAAACGTAACCTACCATAATATACCGGTAACAAGTGCGAAACAATGAGCGCGAAAAAGTGGGAAATGCAAGTTAAAAAAAAAGACACAACAATGAGCGCAAAAACAAGCGCGAAAAAAAGCGGGAAATGCAAGTAAAAAAATCTACAACCACTGTATAAGACGCACCCGGTTTTTAGACCCCAAATTTTTGGAAAAAGGGTGCGTCTTATACATGGGGAAATACGGTAAATAATGATTGGGTTGGTGGGTACATGGGTGTATACATTTGTTATACTTACTGAACTGTACACTTCAAATGGGTACATTTTATTGTAAGTATACCTCAAACAACTTGATTTAAAAGGAAAAAGGAAAGCTGTAGGGAGAGAGCAGCTGCACCCCAGGGAGAACAAATCCCACATTATTTGGAGTCAAGCACTGTAGAATGTCAGACAGTATGTGTGTGCGATTCATCGATGTTGTTGTAAAGATCAGTAGCTCCTTCCTTTTGAGTGTCATGTAGTATTGCCTCACATGGTTGTACTTGTTTGTTTAGTCATTTCCCATTGCTGAGCATTTAAAGCTTGGGGCGATCATCAATGTTTAGGCCCCAAGGTCTTTCTGCGGCCTTGTGTTCTACTCCTCAGATGGGACAGCTCTCTACCTCGAGATGCACAGAGCCTTCGAGGCTGTCAGCAGATCACCCTTCTGAAGACAAACTCACTTCTCCATCCCCAATGACTCGAATTAGCCAGCAAAGCTGGAGCATGAATCCATGAGGCTTTCTTTCCTGTCACAAAAGGTGTGAGAAGCAAGTTCTGGGGTCATTGTGAGGTCAGAGACCATGGGATGGTCTTCCCAATGCATTTCTGTTCCCCTTAATCCGTTTCGTTTTGAAAATCAAGCACTGGGTCTTGGCCTGTGAAGCAATTGGGGTAGCGTTTGCCAGGAGTGGGAGAGGATTGGCTTGTAGAGCCAAAGTGGCGGAACGGATTTTGCTGAAAGCAGAAAATTTACCATATTTTCCCTTGCTACTTTGGATTCGTGAGGCACAAGTTCTTTGAAAACAATGAAAATGAAGAAACACTTCAAATTCAGTCTGTGGTTGGAAACTCCATGAGTAACTGTTCTAGCAAACCTCAAGGGGGAAAAGCACATATTCAGAAAGCAGAGGGCCTATGAAGGAGAAATTCCTCAGCTGGTCTGCATCAAGACATCATTCCGTGGGGCATGTGAATCCCGCCATCCCAAATCCCTGCAGCCAGTACACCGACCAGAGCACAAAAGCAGGGACCCATTTCCGCTGTTTGCCCAGAGTCAGGGACGCCGTATAAAAATTTCTTTTTATTAAAGTAAAATTCATATCAAAATAAAATGAACCATTTTGAAGTGCAATTCGGCGGCATTTAGAACACTCACAAGGTGCAACATCACCTCTCTCTAGTTCTAAGACATTTTCATCATCTCAAAACGAAATCCTATACCTATTAAGCAGTCACACCTCACTCTTCCCTAATCTACTAATCTACTTTCTACGGACTTATCTATTCTGGACATTTCATGTAAATGGAATCATACAATATGTGGCCTTGTATGTCTGGCTGCTTTCACCTAGCATAATGTTTTGAGGTTCATCCATGTTGTAGCATGTGTCAGTACTTCACTCCTTTTTATGGCAGAATAATATTCCAG